AACGAAGCTCGCGCCTGTTAGACTTTATCGCAAAGGGATGAATACTGGGCCCTTTTCTTACCGTTATAAATGTCATTTCTGTGTGTTATGGACTGGATCAACTCAACGCGATGGTTTTGTGAAATTCCTTTCAAGATAGCAAGCCTTTTGTTTTTATAAATTGTCAAAGCTGAAGAGTTTTGTTCCCTCGCCCGTTGAAATGTGCAGTAAATGTTTTTGTAGCTCAGGCGTCAGTTTGTCCCGAGCTTCATGACCTTTGTACTGTGATGGAGGTGCTTCCATTGTTCAAGGAGCTTGTTGACGTCCCTTTATGTTTGAACTGGGAGGGGCGAAGGTGTTCAAGTTACAGAATCTGTAATGTTTTGGGACATGGAGGCACCTTCACTGCATCGATTGCTTACAAAAAGGCTACCCTCCCCCAAACAATGGGATTTTGATCAATAATCATTGGATGCAACAGCTTCTAGAATTTTGGCAGCTACCCGTAAAACTGAATGCACACTGCACTTTAAGATTATGAAGAATTTGTCAGATTTTGTCTGTCGGTTTTCTGTCCGTGTGTTCTTGCTCTGTGCCATCCTATCCACACTTCATTCATCCCACTGTACATTCTAAATGGTCTTTGCAATCCCAGACTTTCAGCTTTCTGGATTCTACTTGACAGCTTCAAAAAGCTCACATTGCTGCTACTGTTGTTTTAAAAAACCTTGCTCACTGCGTGTAGCTTTCCTCCCAGTCACATACTTCATTTTCCAAGTGCAATTTCATCAGCCTCTATGTTGCTTGTGTCCACAGCCCATGACCCGTGTGTGACCTGTGACCCAGGGGTCACCTGACCGGTCCAGAGAGGATCATGGGATGGCTCCCTGGTATCTCAGCCCCCTGGCTGATCATGAGGTCGTCAAGGTAACACCGTTACCGTGGTTACAGGCAATTTTTGTAGAGCATGAGAACCTTTCTTTTCCATTTTTCCTCCCGACTGTACCACACTAACATTGTACACTTTGATTCCAGATTGAGCACAGCAATTCTGAGGTCTTCAACAAGGCAACCTCACTGTCAAATAGCTCTATACATGTACTAGGTGATGTATTTCATATGTAGAGATAGCGAGCGTGTATAGTTACAACATGTACTGTGGGAATGTTATGATAGCTACTGAGGTATGGAAGGTCTGAAAGACTTGTTTCTTGTTTTGACATTGGACCAAAACTTTTTTAAATGAAGTGTTTATTGCACAAAGATTAAAAAATGACAACATTTTATAGTTGTAAAGCCCTTCCAAGCCATTGTGGCAGTTATGTTCGAATTATAGTTATATATATTGCATGTTTTTCTATGACAAGAAGGGGTCAATATTTGAAGGAACGGTAGATGAAGTATTTTGTACAATGGAGCAAACTTTTCTGACCAAAAAATGGAGTTGTAGAATATCTT